CTCACAGGTGTGATAATGTCTCACAGGTGTGACTGTCTCACAGGTGTGATAATGTCTCACAGGTGTGACTGTCTCACAGGTGTGATAATGTCTCACAGGTGTGACTGTCTCACAGGTGTGATACTGTCTCACAGGTGTGATAATGTCTCACAGGTGTGACTGTCTCACAGGTGTGATAATGTCTCACAGGTGTGACTGTCTCACAGGTGTGATAATGTCTCACAGGTGTGACTGTGTCTCACAGGTGTGATAATGTCTCACAGGTGTGATAATGTCTCACAGGTGTGATAGTGTCTCACAGTGTCTCACAGGTGTGACGATATCTCACAGGTGTGACGGTGTCTCACAGGTGTGACGTGTCTCACAGGTGTGACGTGTCTCACAGGTGTGACATGTCTCACAGGTGTGGTAATGTCTCACAGGTGTGACTGTGTCTCACAGGTGTGGTAATGTCTCACAGGTGTGATAATGTCTCACAGGTGTGATAGTGTCTCACAGTGTCTCACAGGTGTGACGATATCTCACAGGTGTGGCTGTGTCTCACAGGTGTGACGATATCTCACAGGTGTGACGTGTCTCACAGGTGTGAAAACCTGTTCCAAGCCTAAAGTTTCATGCACACATTTGTTTTCATGCAGAATAGAGAGGAGTAAAAACTCTCCAAGTCCTTACGTTACAATTCTGTCCCACGGTGCGGTCAGCTGGCTGAACGAGGAGGTGGTCGTCGCCAACTGTAAGATGCGTGTTTACAGATTCCCCTTTGACATCCAGAGCTGCGACATCACCTTCAAGTCCCAATCCTACGACGGTGCGTTCTGTTTAGTTAAATTGTGGGAGTTATATATCTGTGAGCACCTCAGGGATAACTTTTGATTTAAGCACTGCTATAAAATCTAACTTTTTTTCACCCAGATGATCAGTTAATGATCGCTGATGTCAAAGACCGCAATAAGAATGAGTCTGAATGGACTGAAAGGTCAGTTCTGAATGAAAGCTCGGTTCAGACACAACATGAGTGGATATTTAAGAAAATGACGGTCCGCAAAGGAACTACTGAACATTCGAGGAAACAAACACTTGTTTTCACTGTAAGTTTTCCTTATTCCAGTGATTTACATACTGACAGAAACTAAACTTTTTAAAAACTTTTCCATTGAATAGTGATTTACCTCTATCCATTGTTTAAAAGTTCAAGCACATTGACTGCAGCAGGAGGGTATTTTTACAGATCACAATGCAGAGGTGGTCCGCTCTCTACATCGCCAACTTCCTGATGCCCCTCCTCTTCTTCTTGAGTCTGGACTTGGCCTCCTTCCTGATTTCAGACACCGGAGGAGAGAAGCTCGGCTTCAAGATCACTGTGCTGCTCGCCGTCACGGTGATGCAGCTTCTTCTCAACGAAATTCTGCCCGGATCATCCGACAAGATCCCTCTCATCGGTAAGAATCTTCACTGTATTCCACTCTGAGCTCCACGCTGACGTTCGTGACCCTGCCTGTCTCCACCTCAGCCATCTTCTGCGTTGGGATTTTCACACTGATGCTGCTCAGCGTGCTGGAGACCATTCTGGTGATGAATCTGATCGACAGAGACGCTTCATCACAAGAGAAGGAGACGGAACAAAGCATGAAGAAGAAACGAGGTATTAAACAACAAAAACAAACTCTAGAGCTGATTCAGTGGAGATAATTCACACATTCTATAAATTACTTCAGTCCAACATATACTCACTCATGAAACTTTAGGCTGGAGAAGTGAAGACATTTGCTCTCGCTGACCTTTTTGTGTTGAAAGCTTTGCTCGTATATGAGCTCAGAGCATGGTGGTAGTCTTTTTGTGAAAAATGTCAAAATCTGTCTCAGTCTGTATAATAAAATTGTCTGGTCTTGCGAATGAAGAATCTGAATTTTTTCGTAATCTTTCATAATTTTCGGTCTGATTTTTCCCTCCAGGAACCAAACTGTGCTGCTTCAGTTCATCCAACTATGATGATTCAGCTGAAGGAACACCGTTTGTGTTCAGTAAGGTAAAAGTCCCACTTCATCCCAAAACGAAAATAAAGTATAAAAATGTTGACAAGGATTCAGTTTCCAAGATAACTTGCTGAGGGTCCGTCCATCCGTCCGTTTTCTTCCTCTTATCTGGGGTTGGGTCTCGGGGGCAGCAGCCTCAGCAGTGAGACCCAGACTTCCCTCTCTACAGCCACCTGGGCCAACTCCTCTGGGGGAATCCCAAGGCGTTGGCCAGCTGAGAAACATAGTCCCTCCAGCGTGTCCTGGATCTTCCTCTGGGTCTCCTCCCAGTGGGACGTGCCCAGAACACCTCACCAGGGAGGTGTCCAGGAGGCATCCTAACCAGATGAACCACCTCAACTGGCTCCTCTCGACGTGGAGGAGCAGCGCCTCTACTCTGAGTCCCTCTTGGATGACTGAGCTTCTCAACCTATCTCTAAGGGAGAGCCCAGACACCCTGCAGAGGAAACTCATTTCAGCTGCTTGTATCTGAGATCTCGTTCTTTCGGTCACTACCCAAAGGTCGTGACCATAGTTGAGGGTAGGAACGTAGACCGACCGGTAAACCGAGAGCTTCGCCTTCTGACTCAGCTCTCTCTTCACCACGACAGACCGGTACAGCGCCCGCATCACTGCAGACCAATCCGCCTGTCGATCTCCTGCTCCATTCTTCCCTCATTCCTGAACAAGACCCCGAGATACTTAAACTCCTCCACTTGGGGCAGGACCTCCTCCCCGACCCAGAGAAGGCACCCTACCATTTTCCGGCTTAAGACCATGGTCTCGGATTTGGAGGCACTGATCCTCATCCCGGCCGCTTCACACTTGGCTGTGAACCGCTCCAGTGAGAGCTGGAGATCAGGATCTGGTGAAGCCAATAGGACCACATCATCCACAAAAAGCAGAGATGTGATCCTAAGGTCACCAAAAAGGATCCCCTCAACACCTTGGCTGTACCTAGAAATTCTGTCCATAAAAGTTATGGACAGAATTGATGACAAAGGGCAACCTTTGCGGAGTCCAACTCTCACCAGAAACGCGGACCAAGCTCTGGCACCGATCATAGAGGGACCTAACAGCCCGTATCAACGTGTCTGGTACCCCATACTCCCAGAGTACCCCCCACAAGAGTCCCCGAGGGACACAGTCGAATGCCTTCTCCAAGTCCACAAAATACATGTAGACTGGTTGGGCAAACTCTCATGCACCCTCCAAGACCCTGTTGAGGGTGTAGAGCTGGTCCGCTGTTCCACAACCAGGATGAAAACCACACTGCTCTTCCTGAATCCAAGATTCGACTATCCGATGGACCCTCCTCTCCAGAACCCCAGAATAGACCTTACCAGGGAGGCTCAGAAGTGTGATTCCCCTACAGTTGGAACACACTCTGTGGTCCCCCTTTTTAAGAAGGGGAACCACCACCCCGGTCTGCCAATCCAGGSGAACTGCCCCCGATGTCCACGCAATATTGTAGAGTCGCGTCAACCAACGCAACCCCACAGCACCCAGAGCCTTAAGGAACTCCGGGTGAATCTCATCCACCTCCGGCGCCTTGCCACCGAGAGTCCGACCCAGGGTCCTCAGGCTCTGCTTCCTCGTGGGAAGACGTGCTGGTGGGATCGAGGAGGTCTTCGAAGTATTCCTCCCACCGACCTACAACGTCGGGAGTTGAGGTCAGCAGCGCACCATCCCCACCATAAACAGTGTTGGTGGTGAACCGCTCCCCGTGGACCAGAATCGCCTCGAAGTCGTAAGGAAATATTTTTCCGTGGTCTCTCTGAACTCCTCCCATGCCCGAGTGTTTGCCTTTGCGAGGCAGCTGAGGGTTTCAGACTAAAAACTAATGAAGTTCTGATCTGGACTTCCGGAGGACACAGGAATAACTGATCCTCGGTGTTCCACACGTTCTCCCGTTATTGTTGGATTTGTCGGTGGCTGGTCCGATAAGCAGACAGATTCCAAAACTTAAGGAAAACTACTCACAAAATTGAAGACACTCGGGAGGACAGAAGGGAAGATGAGGGATTGCTGAACTGAGGAGGAGAGGCGGAGCAGAGGATGATGGGAACATGGAGAGCAGCTGGGCTGACGGGCGTGACAACAGGTGATGGGCGCTGATTGAATGACAGACAGGAAGTAAACAGGGAGGAAAAGAGAAATGGCTCAAGAAAACACTGAGGAAAAGCAACAAGGGAACAACAACACAAAGAAAGCCTGATAGAGACCAACTATATTCGTTTTAAAGTTAGAAGAAAGCAGCTGCAGCAGCTGACAGACTCAGAGTGTTTTATAATCCTGTTGGTAATCTGTCTGATCTGATTTACAGCTCTTCAGAGACCAACAAACCGACGAGTCCATCAATCTGAAAATGGTCTTAGAAGAGCTGAAAGAAGTTCTCCTCAACCACAGGAAGGACGAGGAGAAGGAAGGCTACTGGACCAAAACGGCTAAAAGGATCGACAAGATTTTCACGATGCTTTATTTTCCAGCCGTCGTTCTGTTTTTACTCACCATGTTTTCATTGTGGTCCGGTAATGATTAACTTTTACCTCTGACTCGCATCACAACTAAAGCCTCAACTTTTAGTGCAAACAGCTGTCAGACCTTTTTATTTATTTCAAAACTTTCTACTTTAATGTTTATGCAGTTGTCCTGGTGAAGAATCTACTTTGTGGAGTTAGAAAGTTGATTTCTTTGACTTGGAGCTCAGATATTTCAACTTCTCAGTATAAATGGATGCAGCGAGAAAAATTATTTAATAATACTTGAGGTTATGTTTTAAACTTACTTGTTACACTTCATGGATATTAACCTCGTCTGCTTTGCTGATAAACTGATAAAAAACATGATGTAATACTTGTGTTTTGAACAGTTTGTATTGAAACGATTGTGTTGTGAGATTCCTACAAATTCCCTTGTTTCCTCAGATATTAAGACAGACTCTACAGCCCAAAGATAAATGTGGACCAAATATATTCCATGATTTAAACTGACTTGTAGCCTAAATGTGCACTGATATTTATTCTGAACATGTTTGTTGTCCTTCATAATCATTGATGCATGTTTCACTTTAACAAACACGTGAGTCTGTTTATTTCTAATACTCATTAAAGATCTGAAATTTACTGATTTTATTTATTTGTTTGATGCATTTAGGTGGCAGATTTTAGATAACATGAATATTTTTTATGTCAAAAAATGGAAAAATCTGTTAAATCTTTTAACAAATGAGCAAGAAACATGTATTTCTCTATTTAATGACAAAGATTCATTTTATTTCAATAAAAAAAACATTACGCACATTTTTATTTTATATGTGAAAAAAACAAGCCAACAACACTCCTGAACTTTTCATGTTTTTAAATCTGATTTTGTGCAGCAGATTTGGCACATGAGCGCCCTCCAGTGGTCAACATTTCACACAGTAAAGGTTTTTGTAGAAAGTATAATTTAATTTGTCTCCTAACGTTTCCAAAGCAGCGGGTAAATCAGGACCGGGATGAGGCTGACAGGGATGATGGTGAGCGCCACCACCAGGCTGGTGGCAACTTCAGGCAGCACCTCCTCTTCCTCGGTGCAGTTGTGGAAATAGATGGAGTGGATGTGGAGGAAGAAGTCCTGAATGTCAGGGTTTGGGAAATAACAGTCCACTAGAGAGGTCAGTCTTTCCAAACACACAGTCAGGTCATTGTACGGTCTGCAGGAGGAGAGGAAACATAAATATGGACAGTTGGTTTTGTGTGACTATAAGTTAAATATAGTTCTAATAGTGATCAGTATGAGGTGCCGTTTGTAAAGTTACACAGTCAAAAATTACCACCAATATTTGTGTTTTATTTAGCCTTTTATTAGAAAAAAAGAACATATTTATTTTTCAAAGTCAGTTTTTCACCATATGATTCATACATTTATAAATGTCATAGTTTATAAACTAAATAT